GTCAAATAAGACCAAGTATCCCATAAAATTTAATTTTACTCTTTGTGCTCTTCTGTGCCCTGCACCACAAAATTGCTCCAAAACACTTCCAAGTTTATTGCTCATTAACCTTTCATAAAACTGCCACAGAAAGCAGTAAATCTTCGATAATTAAAATGTATCAAGAATACTGAGAGAGTTGAATCAACACTAATTTTTACAGGAAACGCATCAATCACAAGCTGAGTGAAATGTAAGAGCAGGGGAGGTGTCCTGTTTAAGTAGGCTAATGAAATGTTCAGACTGAACAAGGAAGGCTGTCTAGTACAAACACAGCCTGCCTGGTACGACCTTTTTGTTCAGAAGCATGGCATTTTGGCAAATCAAAAAGTAGCAGATTGTCCTGAAGGGGGTCACTTTCTTGGAAGAGCCCAATTTCTGCTGTAATGATGTGATAATCAACAGCTGTTGCAGGCTGAGCAGACATCAGGAAATTAGATGAATACAGGACAGCTAAAAAAAAGAAGGGGAAAAAAAGCAAGAAAAAATTCTCATAGGCTCCCCCCCTCCCATTTCAAATTTTTATTGCCTTTTGACTTAAATCGATTGAAATCAAGCTTTATATTTCTCATACGCTCACCTGCATACACTGAAAAACAATAAGTGACTCACAGAAGTCAGGGGTGTCTCCTTTGATTTAGATACAGAAATAACTAAATGACTTAATCAAAACAAAATTGATTCTTAACGCTCACTGAAGAAATGTTTTGTAAATAATTATTTACAAGATGATTCAAAAACCTGAAAAAGAAGTTGCCTTCATGCCAGTCAGCTCATTTTTATAGCAACAATAAAGGCAGAAAAAAAATCAGAATAAGCCATGTTGAAATCTGAGAGTAATAACTGTCACCAATATACAAATATGTGAAAAATATTACCTTAGGTTAGTTATTTCCAATACTTGCAAGCTCCCTGTGGACTTGGTAATTGCAATTTATTGTGAAGATTCGATCAACCATCAATAATGCCTTGGCAAGAGCACAAGAAAACGGCTTGGGAACCATGGCATCACTTCAATCAGCTGGGAAAATTGACTGCTAACTAGCTGATTTTGGGGGGCTTCTGACAGCACAAGTTTGTCTGATGGCAAGGGATTCTGTATCTGCTTGATATGATTGCTTATAATATTTTGTTGTATTTCTCATGTATTTATCTATTTCTACTCATTTTCTTGTGATTATCTAATGTCATTCAGTGCTGAGTTACATTATCATAGCAAATAAAATAAATAAATAAATAAAAATAATAATGACTTTCATGCATTCTCTACAACACACTAGGGTCTACACCTTCGCCTACCTACCTATCTCATTTTCTCCACTCAAAGCAGTAGGTTTCTGAAGCCACCTAAGTCTCAAACAGACAGATTATGATGCAATCCACATCTACGCAATCCCCAGCAATCTCAAGAGCAAATTACAGTTTAAATAGAAACACTACCTCCTGCAATCTTCAAGAAAGGTCCTGTGTGCTTGAAATTTACTCAGATGGACTATGTTTACACTTTTCCTGTGATATTTGTACAAACTGCAAGTGTCAATTCTCATGCACTTCTTGCCACTAAGGGCCTGTTCACTCAGGTCTGATTTTAACACGAAAAAGGTCAGACTGACGTCACTGAAGGCCTGTTCACTTCAGATCTGACAAACTGATATAGGTCTGATTAATGTTTAATGATTAATTGCCTTTTCAAGGAGTAGGGGGTGCTATCCCCATCTCAAATAGCGATCGATCACTATGACCCCATTTCCAGAGATTAGATCGATCTACTTAAGATGGACCTTACTCCCTGGGGGTTCACGTTAAATAGCTGTCAGCCGGGTGGACACGAAAGTTAATTACCCCCTTATAGCTTGTAGTAGGCGGGACGGACATTTAAGCCGGATTATCTGACAGTAATCTAGTGAGACTACCCGCGAGGATAGATCAATCTAAAAGCTCTGGGAATACAGCCTATGATTGTGTGCAGGCGCATATACAGTTTCTTTGAGTAACTGAGCCAAGATTACAAACCAAGAAAAAAACCCATCTAACCCCTGTAATATCCATTATCTCAACAAATAATAATAAAGGTTAGTCCCATGGTATATAGTATGTTAAAGGAAGAAATCAGACTGCAGAGACAGAAAGCAAAGAGTTAGCTGAATTCCACTCCAAATGGAAATGCGACTTAACTGCCATAGTATGCATTCAATTATTGTTGCAAACAGTCTAAAGGCTATTCATTTTGTTAAAACAAACACAGGTCTTTTTTAAGGCAAATTGCTAATTTTCAACACATTCACTAACAACATACAAAAACAGCCTCAAATGTTTATCAATGAATGTGAGAAGACGAGAAGAAAATCTATTTTTAAATTCATAAACATGATACCATTATGAAAAAGTAAATTCTCCCTCAGTAGGGAGAGACAAAATTAAAATCATTTCTTCCAAAACCTTGTTCCATTCATTATCCCCGAAATTCTGATCAGTGTCTGTTGAAAAATAAATGCTGACTTGAAGACAAAAGGTATGATCTTCATTTCAGCACATAAAAAGACCTAAATAAGAAAATGTACAAAAAAGTAGTGCTTGAAATTTATCCATAATTACCGTAAGCATTCCTCACTCTGAATGTTATAATAACAGGAAGTTCACAAAACAAACCATAACAATTTGACCCCATATGCTGTACTGTAAGGCAGTTATTGTTCCTTGTGGCAAAAAATGGTTACCTTATACTTCTGCCCTTGTGAGGACATAAAAAACCGATGAAAGCTCCAGCATTGTTTGCATTCATGCACTTGCAGTAAGCAGGTTAATAAATGCAACCCATAAAACAAAATTGCATTCCTAAATTATAATAAGAAAGTTGGAGAATGCCTAGAAGAACTTGTGTGTGGTTTAAGATCTTGCTTTGTTTGGCTTCACAATGAAAAACACACCAACTTCCTCTCCTTTAATTATTTTCCCATGCACAGACCAAATGACAGAAGGAACTACAATCTTCAAAAAGATCAAGCAATTGTAATCTGTTCAAACTCGAGGTAAAGTTTTTTTTTCTACTTGACTACTATTCATCTCTAACAAAACATTTTCCTCTTATGAAAAAATGTTAAATACAAGTTATGATAATAATCAGGGATGGGTATGCTATTGAGTGAAAAAGTCTAAAAAAATCGCCTAGGGACCAGACCTATATTTCCCCCTGCCAGGTTAGTTACAGATCTGCACCAATCTCAAAAAGGATATTTTGATTCCCGAAAAGTCGTAAATCTGCCAAAAGTTCTAAAAATCTCATCCCTGTATAATCCCAATAAAATCTATTTTGCTCTTAATATTTTTTTTTTTTTTTTTGACAAAACGACACAAGACACAAATTTTCGTTTGTATTAGTTGTAAAGATCCACAAAATTGTTGATTTATATGAAATTACTCAATGACATTTCCTCCAGCAGCACACCCAGGGCCTTAAGTCACTCTACAAAAATGTACACACACAAAACTGCTATTCCTGGATCAAATTCAAATTCTGTAACTTAATGTGTTGTTTATTTACCTGAAAATTGCTGGCCATAACTTTCAGTGTTTCTGTAAACATTTGTAAAAGTCTCAGTCATCTTTTAACATCTAAATATCCTGCAAAGCTCTCCAAATTCAGGCATCAAAAATTACCACACAACCAAAAGTACATTCCAAAATGTACCTGATGTTAACATAAATTTCTTGCTGAGCTTTAGAACCTTGCAAGGTCAAAGCCTTGACATCTAGTAAGTTCTTGCAGAAAAAAAAGTCCACAGATACTGATGCAAAAGCTCTGCAGAATGTATCTTTAACAGAAAACCTAGGGAATTCATTTTCATTAAGACCAGATAATCAAATATTTATTTCAAAAAGTGCACTAAAAAGAACAACAGAGACGGCATGCTCCAGAGTCCCAGAAACAATGCACTGGTCGTACCACTGTTAACTGGGATAGGCTGACTGTGGCCAAGATGTGGGGCATGATAATAGGCTATGCTAGAGTTGATAAGAGTTCACCAGAGAAATATAATCCCATGCTAGACTAATCTCTATCTTTTCTTCTTCTTCTTTTTTTTTTTTTAATTTCTTTGTACAGAATATTTGACATCTGGAAATGAATCGTCAATTTGTTAGCACTGATCTTCTTAAGTAATTTAGCAAATAATATGGCTTTATCAAAAGGTTATATATGCTAGTGATCTAAGCAGAAACTAGCCCCGTGTAAAATGCCTAGTGTATTCAAATTTAAAGGCATGTTACCTTGGTTTCCCTAAGAAAAAAGCAATTTTTCCCTTTGCAGCAATTGCTTAACCTGTTCCTGCACTTGTATTCAAATATATATACCATTTTTGTTGGTAGAATTCACATCTTTAGCAATGTCTAGCACGTCATTTAAGCCACTAGTCTTTCTGACATTTTATTCATAGGTCAATAATAAAAACCTGTTGAAACTGTATCTTATCAGCCCAAATAGTATAATAATCTCAACTAATGAGGAATGGTTTCATGAGCTATTAAACTAATGGTACACTGACTTAAGGCAAGTTCTTACACAAAAATCGGTTTCCTAATAACTAAGCTCCTTCGTGTATGACTAAACAACACTTCCAAGTAAAATTGAATGTTCAATAAATTCCCCTTAGAGATACTTTGCTGCATCTTCACTGCCAAGTAGATTTCTAAAGTGAAATCATAGTAAAATACAAAAAAATACTTTTTGGTTGCAACAGCTGCCCTGCAGATTATGGACGAACAACATGTAACGCGCAATTTCCTAAAATTTCACAAATAACCACAACGGTGTGTTTTAAGGTCGCAAGCGTGGAGCCGAAAGCGGTTTACTACATCTAATTTCAATTCATCTTCTAAAAAAATAGCAAAACCTGCTGCAACACACTTCATCAACATCTGAATATTAACATTCAAATATTGCAACAAAAAAAAATTCAACTCACCAAAGGCAAACAGCATCACCACGCCGACAGTTATAAGTTTGATCAACATGTTTGAATGAAACAATCTCGTCGATTGATAACCATACTTGGGTGAACGCATGATGATATTTCAGTCCTGACGCTTAGTCGAACGCACATGTTCCTGCTAAAAAACAGTCACCATACTGGTGCTCGAATTCTGTCACTCCTTGCGTATAAATAATTGCTATGTAAATCCTGTGTTTGATACAATCGTGATGAACCAAAGCTGGCAAGGTCGAACAATCTGTCCTCGTTTTCTACAAAATGGCTACCCTTCTTGGCACATATCGAGCAGGTGCCCGGATATAAAATGTATCAAAACAAACCGCAAGTTTGATTGGATCAAGCCGCTCAGTCCTTCCGAGGATATTTCGCTTTTTGGAACTTTTCTTTGTTTTTTTCACCAAATAAAAGTTATTTTTCTTAATTCTTATATTGATAACATATAGAAAACCAAGTAAAAAATTAGTAGTTACTGAGACACATTGGAAAGTTGCCAAAGGAGATGACCGGAGTGACCATAACATCCGACCAATCAAAAAAGTGCTTACTTTCTTCGGGTCAAATTAAGGTGATGATCGACAGGTCGCAAGGTCGCGTTTACGCTCTCACATTAGTTGCTTTTACTCCCTAAAATTAACACTGACGACGAAGCAAATGTTGTACTCGAATAAATTTAATGTTCATACACGCAGCGTTGTTAGATAATTATGGTATCACCTAAATGTAACCCAAATAAGATATTAACTGAAACCATTGAATAAAGACATCCACCTTTAAAATGCCCCGTATCTATTCACGTAATAGCACTAATTATTCATATATAAATTGAAGGAAATATATATCAAGAGTTAATTAATTCAACATATAATTAACATCACACTGGTAAAGAAATTTTAGCCTATTGTTATCAGATTTGCACAATATCAATGCCCATGCATATTTAAAATATAATCAAAATAATTCAAATTAAAGAAACAAGTGTGAGTAAAATTAAGTGTTTTGAATAATATTCTCAGATTCAAAATGCCAGAAAATACCAAATTTAAAACGGTAGAAGATGGTGAAGGGAGAAGGCGTGCAGTTGTGCACTGTTATTAAAATGCTGGAAAACTGTTCAAAAGAAAATAATTAATTGTTAGATAATATCAAATTAATGTGCATTGGTATCAATAAAAGAACAATAATAAATTATCATATTTGCATTTTTAATCAACGTTTCTCAAAGTATAAAATTGTGGAAACATGTTTAGAAAATTACAAACCATCTACAAAGTGCAGGTTTTATAATAGTGTCGAAGTTCTCCATTAGTTACCGTGCTTGACTGACGGGGTGAATCCTATTGAAGGCAAAGCCATCACAAAGGAATCCACACCTCTGGGAAGGAAGTGCCCCGATTGGTCGAAATTGACATCATTGACCGCAATACGCAAAGTCTAAATTTATCACTCAGCAAGCTTCTGATTGGTTACCAGTGACATCATGTGCTAAACTGGGACGTGATGCTGCCAGTATATATACACCTTGCAGCTGGTGTTGCAATCACCATCTAGAGAGGCGAGAGAGGTGAGATGTGGTTGATTTCATGAGGAAATTTAACCTTATACATTACAGTAATTAAGTAATATGTTGCATAACTGATAGAATAATTTCAGTCTTTTACAACTTGATGTGTTATTTTGAATTTTCCTTGGAATGAAGGACAAAACAAACTGATACATTCGATCCAATCCAAACCGGCTGGCGTTACTAACATGTCGGTGTTTTATTCCAAATAATCTTGACAACACAGCATATTTTACTCTGATAATTCAAGATAATTCGACAAAACAACCCTGTTTGTACAAATGAATACCGTGTGAAATGTATCCAATTTGTAAAATATCTTAATTTTGATTTTTACAGTAACGAAACGGAGAGGTTAACACCCGGCAAGGGGCCCCCATCGCCAGCAGCGGCGTCCAGAGAGAGAAAGAGACTTTCGATTGATGTAATTTGTGGGTGACATTAACATCCCCACCTCACACACACACACGCCCATCCCAGTTTTGATTTAAAGTGGTAACCGACCGCGGTCACCATTTCACTCCAGTTCAACAACTTTGAAGAATTGTTGTCTGAACTTGATGAACCTAATTTGAACTTAACACCCAGTCCAACAGAGAGTACAATTTCCACATTTGATTACAACGTTTCACCAAGTCAAACATGTACCTCTTACGAAATCAAGGATCCAGCAGCGATGATAGGAAGGGTAGGGGCCAAGGGGGAAATGTCTCCCTCTTGGGAGACGCCTCAGGCGTCTCCAATGTGGGAGACATCTCCAGTGATGAAGGAGACTCTGGTGACCGAGATTTTAGCACCAGTCATGGTCAAGCCCTCAAGTGGCACAAGCCAAGCAGTGGACACAACCACCACCAATACCCTGACTGGCCTAGACCAGGAGGCGTGGACGACCTTGGAGGCCACGCTGTTGAGTTATGGGGATGCGGAGGCCTTGGACAGTTCCTCGATCTACGCACGTTCAGTGCAGAAGACGAGTGGCCTATTTAACCCAAGTAAGTAAAGTTTGATCTTTGGTATATCTTGAGTTTAAAGTTATTAGAGTGGATAATTAGGGAGAGGGGAATATACTGGATAAAAAAATGGAGAATGTTGGGAAGAAAAGAGCTTTATTTTTACCAAAAAGAAATAATTATAGGAAAAGTGCTGTTTTAAAACCTTTGACTGTCATTATACATGACAAAATGATTATTCTGAACAAAAAATCAAAATGCTTTCCTTAGACATACCAATGCCACATTCCTAAAAAAAAGCCTTTACTTGATGCAAAGTTAAGCAAGTCTTACAGGTTGATCTACCTGTACCTCTATTACAATGATGATAGATATAAAGAGAAATATCGGTTGAAAAAAAAAACAAATGGCTTGCCCAGGCATGTCTGTGCTTTCGAGTCAATATTTTCCTGAAGGGGCGGATGTTAGCAAGTTCAGGCATGCTCAGAACGTGATGAAGGTATTGCACCACCACCTGAAATCTCATTGTTATCAGCAAGTCCTTATCAATAAATCAATAGCCACTCTAGCAACAAGGCCCCTTATGTCATTCTAAATCAGTCCAGGTTAGCAAATTCCCAGGACATGAAATAGGTCAGAGTTCAATCATGCCTATTTCTGGAANTTTTGAATTTTCCTTGGAATGAAGGACAAAACAAACTGATACATTCGATCCAATCCAAACCGGCTGGCGTTACTAACATGTCGGTGTTTTATTCCAAATAATCTTGACAACACAGCATATTTTACTCTGATAATTCAAGATAATTCGACAAAACAACCCTGTTTGTACAAATGAATACCGTGTGAAATGTATCCAATTTGTAAAATATCTTAATTTTGATTTTTACAGTAACGAAACGGAGAGGTTAACACCCGGCAAGGGGCCCCCATCGCCAGCAGCGGCGTCCAGAGAGAGAAAGAGACTTTCGATTGATGTAATTTGTGGGTGACATTAACATCCCCACCTCACACACACACACGCCCATCCCAGTTTTGATTTAAAGTGGTAACCGACCGCGGTCACCATTTCACTCCAGTTCAACAACTTTGAAGAATTGTTGTCTGAACTTGATGAACCTAATTTGAACTTAACACCCAGTCCAACAGAGAGTACAATTTCCACATTTGATTACAACGTTTCACCAAGTCAAACATGTACCTCTTACGAAATCAAGGATCCAGCAGCGATGATAGGAAGGGTAGGGGCCAAGGGGGAAATGTCTCCCTCTTGGGAGACGCCTCAGGCGTCTCCAATGTGGGAGACATCTCCAGTGATGAAGGAGACTCTGGTGACCGAGATTTTAGCACCAGTCATGGTCAAGCCCTCAAGTGGCACAAGCCAAGCAGTGGACACAACCACCACCAATACCCTGACTGGCCTAGACCAGGAGGCGTGGACGACCTTGGAGGCCACGCTGTTGAGTTATGGGGATGCGGAGGCCTTGGACAGTTCCTCGATCTACGCACGTTCAGTGCAGAAGACGAGTGGCCTATTTAACCCAAGTAAGTAAAGTTTGATCTTTGGTATATCTTGAGTTTAAAGTTATTAGAGTGGATAATTAGGGAGAGGGGAATATACTGGATAAAAAAATGGAGAATGTTGGGAAGAAAAGAGCTTTATTTTTACCAAAAAGAAATAATTATAGGAAAAGTGCTGTTTTAAAACCTTTGACTGTCATTATACATGACAAAATGATTATTCTGAACAAAAAATCAAAATGCTTTCCTTAGACATACCAATGCCACATTCCTAAAAAAAAGCCTTTACTTGATGCAAAGTTAAGCAAGTCTTACAGGTTGATCTACCTGTACCTCTATTACAATGATGATAGATATAAAGAGAAATATCGGTTGAAAAAAAAAACAAATGGCTTGCCCAGGCATGTCTGTGCTTTCGAGTCAATATTTTCCTGAAGGGGCGGATGTTAGCAAGTTCAGGCATGCTCAGAACGTGATGAAGGTATTGCACCACCACCTGAAATCTCATTGTTATCAGCAAGTCCTTATCAATAAATCAATAGCCACTCTAGCAACAAGGCCCCTTATGTCATTCTAAATCAGTCCAGGTTAGCAAATTCCCAGGACATGAAATAGGTCAGAGTTCAATCATGCCTATTTCTGGAACATTGCATCAGTTTGGATATATCAGTAATTTCACCACAGTCAGCAATTTCATTCAAAATGTAGCTGTCCTAAGCAAAACAAGTTTTAAGTCAGGCTCTGGTATATATATATGCAGTGGTTCTTAGGAAATTTCACAATAAGCTGAAATGTGTGCAACTGAAGGTAGATTTATGCTTCCATTTTATTTTATTTTTTCAAATTTTATTTTACCTACTTTTTAGAAATATTCATCAGAAAAAAACTTAAAAGATAAGATTGCTTGAGAATGTATCCATGTAGTACAAAAGGGTAGCACATGCAGTGATTTTTTAAAAAAATTTGCTTTCATTTTCTTTTTCATAAGTGAAGTCGTTTTCCATTTTTGCTGAATTTCATGATTCCTGAAAGAAATGGTATTTAACTTAAACATTAACACATTTAATTAAGTACACAGTTGTTTAAAAACACTTCTCATAAAAATAATTTTTTATCATTTTAGGTGATTCCCTTAAAGAAACATTGAAATTGGATCTATTTGCTGATGAAGAATGTGACGACCTCTTAATGACTTGCATGAAGCAGACAGTGTTAAAGGAGGGACCAGACCCTGACACCTCAGTAGAGGCGGCTTCTGATGACTTTGAAAATGACTGGTTATTTAATGAGACCGAATTTCTGGATGACTTTGCTGATTTGTCTAAATACATTGAACAGGTAGGTGCTGACACAAAAATGCAGAATTCAGTTCATTTGTTTTAGAAACTCTTCACATAGATTCCATATAAGATAAGTTTTTCTCTTATAGTACCAAGTCTTACAATGGCAGAAGTAACCATTTTTAAGTTTCTTTTTTTATAAATGATAAATGTTTTTAACCAGGTTATACTCGTTCTTTCAGAACACCATGCCAGTTGAACAGAGCAACACTGAAACATCCACATCTGAGGCACACGGGTTAGTCCCAACTATTGACAATGTTACCATAGTAACTGAACCTAGCCGGTCCAGTGAAAGCTTTGGCACTGTAGATTTGGCCGACATTTCAGCAGAGGTGGATCACAATGACTCTGACAGCACAGATTCCAATTCTACAATTGATCATGATTACTCGCGTGGAAAAAAGAGAAAAACTGACAGCGTGACATCAGATATTGTCACAAAGAGAGCAAAAGTGAACAGCGTGACATCTGAAAGTGACACTGAATCTGTAACAACCACTGCATCTGGAAGCAATGATAGATATGGAGAAAGAAGGCGAAAGAATAATATTGCTTCCAAACGCTCCCGTGAACAGCGTAAAAACAAATACATTGAAATGGAAGAAGAAGCTGTTCGCCTGGCAAAGGAAAATTCAGAACTGCAAGCTAAGATTGAATTGCTTGAGAAAGCTACAAAAGACTTGAAGCAAGTTTTGGTTCAAAAATTGACATCTGGTTCTAAGTAAAGTGTGAAAAAAACATCAACAAAATTCATCTGAAAATATTCATTTTATAACATTTGAAATGTTTTTTCCCTTGTCTGTAAGTGATAATGTATATAATATATGTTTTCTTGAAATGAAGTACCATTATATAAAGTCTCTTTCCATGACATTTGTTATCACCATTGGAATAGAGCAAAGAAATGAAATTTAGATATTTAATGTTATATAACCCAGATATTATTACTGTCAATATTTTTTGTAAAGAAATCTAAAAGAATTTGTAATGAATCACCATTACAGAGTCACTTACTCAGGTGTATATGTAGTCCAGTCAGGAAAGGAGGGGGGCATTTTTGGCACAATTTGTTGTGGATTTGAAGCTGCATTTCCTTTTCAGTGCAAAGTTAAGCTTCCTTTTCATTTTAGAAAGGGAAGAAAACAAGAAATCCCCCCCTCCTATCCAACTGCAAAATAGTAATAATAATACATTTTTGAATTCTTACAACCCTTATTTCTTTAGTATGAGGTAAGGAATGACGATATCCTTTTTCCATACTACACGTTGGAAACTTATTTTTGAAGTCTTATACACCATGTAAATATGCTAATGTATGATGTATTATATATTTCATTTAGATGTCAGACTAGTGTGCTGCTGTAAATAAAATATAAATCGTAACCTTACTCGTTTTTGTTTTTAATATATTTGACAAGGGTTTATGTGAGGCGGATAATTCCCATACTGCACTTGGGGAGATGTGTGATTGGTTATAGTGGGCCTTGTATAGTCGTGGTATACAAGAATTGACGGACAAGCACTTTATGTAAAGACACACTAAGAAATTTAAGTTAAAAGTTTTGGGATCAGATTTGAATTGAGTTGTAACTACTTTTTCTCTGTCATATCCATTTCAATTCAAAATCCCAATGGAAGGGGAAATCCCTATAGGAAGGGGGCAAAGTATGAGAGATTAGGTTTAACACGTTGAAAGCAAAGCTTGGTCATTAAAGAAATGAAATTAACTGATATGAATATTGCATTTGCAGTTTACTTTGACAGAGTATTACATGGCATGCTGTTGCACACAGCCTGCAAAATGAACTAAATTTATTGACATCATTTATAATTCAATATTTTTGGTAATCACAATGGCATACATTTAAATCATATCAAGTTGAATTGCGGAAATGAAACTACTATTGTAAATCTGAATTGTTTGATACATAATCCTTTCACAAAAAGATAAATTACTGAAATGTTTAAAAAAGCTCAATTATATAAATATATACATATAGTTTTGCTCCTTATTGTAAGTGTAATCAAAACCAAAGTTAATTAGTCCCTGATTAATATCCTTCTGACATAACTTTAGGAGCGTATGTCAGAAATGTGTATCATATGACATCTTACATCTAAAAATACATCATTGAAAATAGACCATTGATCTTGTTTATAAGCATATGATAATATAATTATAACAATATATTTGATCTTGTGTCAGTAAGTTAATTTAGCATCTAACATCTAATATTTTTCCCTATGGCAGTGTTTAAATTCATAAAAAATGGTTTCCAGTAACCTCTTTCTCATATGAGAGCCTTTACATCATAGTAACCAACATTGACTTAATGTCAGTTTTCCCTGTAAAAAGAAAAATGTCTTCTACCAAATTACTTAATATCTGTCTTGATGGGTCAGTAATAGGTTATTGCCACATAAATATTTCTAGACACATCTCAATAGAAATCAACATGGAAGTGCAATTAGCAGTTTCATATATATATATATGGAGTGCATTTTTTAAATTGTTTTTCCCCTTGAATATGGCCTACTGTAATACTTTCAATTAACAATTAAAATATTATGAACATATAATATAATGTAATAAATGCACTCTCTTCCTTATCCAGAGATAACTGTATCATATCAATAGTCAGATATTTTATCTCAATGTTTCAACATAATTATCTGCGGTCCAAAAGAGACCGCCTAGTTTGGACACCATTTCAGTAATGACACCACGAAGTGTTATATTTGGTATAAAGCACTTCCAATAAAGTTGAAATGTCATTAGACACATGCACACATAAAGAAAAAAAATAGCCATAAGCTGGTATGAACTAAAAAACAGAAAATTTGAGCTTGTTTGGGATAAATAAAAACTGTCTCCTAAAATGAGGATATTGACCAAAAACAAAAGGCATTATTAGCGAATTATTACAGAATTAACCTGGACCAAATTAATTCCAGTGAAAGACGAGGTTTTTGTTGTGAAATGGGTCCTGCTGTCAGTGACTTTAGTAGTCTGCTCCCTGTTCCTTTGCAATCTGTTGTTCCAATCTTCTGTATCTATCAGCCATTGTGTTATACATCTAAAGAGAATTAAAACATCCAATATTAGGAGGCTCCGAGCACTACTTATAACAAGGCTGGCTAACCCTATATAAAATTGTGTTACAGTTGGCTCTATCCTGATAAAAAATACTAGGATTCTGAATAAAAAAAAACTTGACTGCATCTTCCAATAAATAAAACAAATTCTCCCAGAGCAGTATTAAAATCAAGCAAATAAATTGTTGATTTCACAGTAATATCACATGCAGAAAAAAATTCTATAACTGTCCCAGGTAACAAAAGTTCCACTATTGCACAACAAAGTCCCTTGAACTTTTCTGCCACCCCCTCCCCACCCACCCCTAACACAATCCTTTGCAATCTGATAAGAAATATTAAACTAACCTCTGTGACACTTGTGTCTGGCTCTGCTGCAAGGACATAGTCCAGAGCCCCCTTGACCACCTCGTCAAAACTGACCACTTTGTCCCCACCTAGCCAGCCTAGAGATATCAAAATCATACATTATAGATACAATATTCTTTTTAATTCTAAAACTTAGTTATTATTTATAAGAGAATATAGTAAAAGAAAAAATTATGCAAAAGCACATGTAATGTAAAAACACATAAACACAAATTTAATTGGAATAACTCTCCCTGTTCCATTACAATGCAATTGCTTCCACCCACACCCATCCCCAAACAGTTGCATTTTGAATTGCACTTCCAGTCATGATACAAGAGCTATATTATGATTTCTAACCATGGTAGGCAAACCAAATGACAAATTCCTTACTTCAATTCGTACTTAAGAGTAGAGATACAAAGGGCAACGCAGGGATTATATTTGCTTCTGTTGGTAACCATCAGTATACATGCATGTCACTTCCCAAGAGACATTTTCAAAAGACTTACCATGCTTAGCCATATAAGCAGCACCAAGGCAAGTTGAATTGGCCACATCCAGTGTATAGACTGGAGATGCAAACACATCTGCTATCACCTGAAAAAATGATGAAAGTGGCCTGCATAAGCTTATTTGCTACAAAACCAATAAACTTATTGACACCACCTAGAAGATTGCTTAACATCATGGGGGCAGAAAGCTGAAGCAGATTTTTTATCCCTAGACTTTCTGAACAGTAAAAAAATTGTCAGTATTTTTAATTATACCTTTTCAAGTATCTTCAGTGTTCACAATATACATTCTCACCTGCAGAAAAGATTTGTTGACTGAAGCGCCTCCTGTTGCCAGGATTTTGGAACTAGGTCCTGAAACAATAATGCAGTGTTCTTGAAACTTAGTGTAAACATGAAATATCAAACTATAAGTCAGTTAAATGTATCTTTCTTAAGAACATACTCAACAAATTTTCAATGTAATTTTACAACATCAGTCCTTTTTCTTTTTAGTCTAAATATGTTACACTCATTGGTACTGACCTAGAGCAAACCCCAAATTCTCAGCATGGGTTCTTCTGGATAAAAACTGCCCTTCTAGCACAGCTCTCACTTCTATTGCATCAGAGAATGAAGAAACCTAAATAAAAGCTAGAAAATGTGAACCTTAAACAACTTAATTATCAGTCATCACTGGCAGATCAAGAATATCTAATCAGTGAGCTAAAATATTATTGGCAATCATTTGTCCTATCCCCAATTTCTCTGCTTCTAGGAGTATTACATTTATTATGTTTAAGTCACTATTCCATAAACTCAAATCTCTTAAGTATGTCAAAAGGTTAATATTATAATCAAAATTTCCCTTTACTTCTTTCAACAATCTAAGACAAGCTTCATTACTACCTTCTGATTGTCTGCTGTGAATCTATGTACCCCTGATATGGAGGGAGTAATCTCCTGAACATCAAAGTACATACCTGGAAAATAATACAAAGCACTGAAAAAACGCATCAGTATTTTATCTCATATCAGTTGCATAACAGGTGATATATTATGTTGCTGTAATGCATAACGTGTGACATTGTGCTAAGTTTGGTCATACTTCTCTACTTCTATGGTTTGACAGTGTTTAATTTAATTGTGTTTAATTTGGCATTGTGGTAGGTGTGACAAAGTGTTTGCTTTGGAATTTCCTTGGATGAATTTTTGTATTTTTTTGTTCCCTTGTGTTAAATTTGGCATTATATCATACCAATATTGCCATTATTTCCCTTTGGTGTCAGTTCAAGAAGTTGGTCAAACTTTTCCCAAGATCCATCAGCACACTTGTCTCGGATTCCCTCTCTCGTTAAGGAGCCATTTTTAAAGCTAGAATTCAATGACACTCACAATGACTAATAATCTACAAAGATGTGTTTACAATGGAAAAGGGACAGCTTTTTCAGTGCAATATTTCTCTGAGGGCTGTTTGATAAAAGTTAAACTCACCATGTAATCACTCCCTGTCATGCACAGTGATGGCAGCTGATAATGAACAGAAAAAAGAAAACAAACAATTCATTTTTTTACCATAAAAGTGCCATGTAGTCACTGGTTTGTACTGGGTTGGAGAAGATGACACCCTGAGTGTTCGGCTTAGGTTCTACAAGCCACAGAAAGACACAGTCACTGGTACCCAGGGTGACCTGAAATGTAAATTTTTTTTTTAATTCATAAAATTGGATTGTTTTTTTCTCTATGTGGTTAAGATATAAAATCAGTTCAAAGGTAAAGGAAAAATATTATATAATTACAGCTAGTATAACTTCTGTCCATGTTCCAAAATTTTTAATTAAAGAAAAGTAACTATTAAGAGTTACATGGCTGCTTAAGCTTCAACTTAAAAGAGTACGAGTCATCAAAAGCATTTCAGTTTTTGAAAAAGTGATAATACCTACCCCAATGGCTCCTTGGGTCAAGGTCATTCCAGCCAGGGATGCTGTTAATTGAAGAAGACAAATAAATTATCAAAAATTAGCATTATGTTTACAGAACTTTTGAAAAAGAGACAATACACAGGTATGGTTGTCTTAAATCTTTTCTTTAATTCTACTTCATAGCCAATACCTTTATACTTATATAGCAAAGGACAGGTATGAAATAAGCAAAATTTTAAGTTTTGCACCTGGATTATCCCCAGTAAATACAATAACTCTGCAGTCAGGGGAGAAGCCATATCTGTCCACAAAGTAGCTGGAAATGGGACCCTGTATAATCATAATACAATTAAAAAATTAAAAAATCAAATAAACAAATTTCATAACATGGTGTGCTAGCATTATTGGCAAATAACAGGCAAATCGATGTAAGTGATTCATGTATATGTTTACATACAAAAACAGATAGAGATGGGGGAGGTATAGTCACTGTCCACACCTACCCACCCACATTTGTGTCATCATATTAAGATTTATTGCATGTAGGTGTCAAGCAAAATCACATGTGAACAAAAACAAACACTTACCACATTGGTAAGTGATGGAACAATCTGCCCTAGTTTCTTCTCCAAAGTTTCACCTCCACAGATCTAAATACAAACATCATGAGTGTTTAAAAAAGCTTGAAATATTGGCGTACTACTCATACACCTTACCAGACACTCATCATAACTCTCCATTAACACAGAGAAGTAGTCAAATCTGGCACAATGTTGTATCAAATTTGTCACACCTAACACAATGTTGTATTAAATTTGTCCCAACTAGCACAATGTTGTATTAAATTTGTCACAACTAGCACAATGTTGTATCCAATTTGTCATACCTAACACAACGTTGTATCCAAATTGTCACACCTAACACAATGTTGTATCCAAATTGTCACACCTAACACAATGTTGTATCCAATTTGTCACACCTAACGCAATGATGTATCCAATTTGTCACAATGTTGTATCCAATTTGTCACACCTAACACAATGTTATATCCAATTTGTCACACCTAACACAATGTTGTATCCAATTTGTCACACCTAACGCAATGTTGTATCCAATTTGTCACACCTAACGCAATGTTGTATCAAATTTGTCACTCCTAACACAATGTTGTTTCCAAACTGTTACACCAAAGTCGCTGTCATTCAAAATATCAAACCTATCGCAACAGCAAGTGCAAAAAGTCAACTGTAACCCATGTTAATGACAACTTACTTTTAAACAGTCAGGATCCCAGACTCTTGTTCTTATATTCATCAAGTTCATGCCAGAGCCATCACTGCTGTCAATGGGGGCGTAATCACCAAGAAACAGACAAGCTCCAAAACTGCTCACAAGGGAAATTCTCTAAGAAATATTTTATTTGTAAGTTACAGTTCAATAGTTATTCAATCCATCTCATCATTTTATCCAATCTGCATTCTTTTTGATACATGGAGTAATTGCTATCAGCCTATCACACACATTGTTTGTAACTGTTAATACTTTTCCAAGCTGATATCCACATTGATACTTAATTCTAATAATAATACAATGTTGCTCTTCAATTCTGCTGTCACTTTTAAAGGTATTAACATGATAGTAAGTTGTATACATGATCAAAAATGAATAAATTTAATTGAATTACATTACATTAAACTGATCCTAAACACTGAAAAATGTATATAAGCTAGCTTTTCTAAGACAACTGGTTATAAATAGAGATAATTATGATTAATCAAAAAATGTTTCTGAATTTTTTTATCAATTTTTATCATCCACATACCTCAGTGTTATCATAGCCTCCTCGGTTGGTTTGGTATATTTTGGCAATCTGGTTCCCTGTGTATCGCTCAAATGCTTTTGCACCAGTCAAATCTGCTAAAGCCTATAACATATAAAGGGCAAAATAAAGGAAATTTTTCAGAAAAAAGAGACAATTTTTGTTATCCCAAACACCCTACCAAACTTTCACAGTTATACTTAACATATTGTCCAGTTCAACACAATATCCTATCAAATACAGCTCACATAAAACAAGCCTAATACACTGTCACCTTACAAATTCTCACAACTTATGCACTATCCCACATAACACACCTAACACACTGTCACATCTAACACATTCTCACAACATATGCACACCTAACACACTGTCACACCTAACACAGCCACACTTGACACAGCTACACCTAACACAATACCCACCTGTGGTCCACCTAGTGCTTTTTCCAACTGTCGACACTGCTCAGTAGTGCTACTATCCATCCATACAGGCGAATCAGGTATACTGAAACAATCCTATACAAATAAAAAAGATAACAGCTAGTTCTCACAGCAAAAAAATCCCCTGAATTTGGTTTCTTTATATTGAATGGGAGATACTGAATAGGCTGACTGCATTGCATATTTGAAGTAGCTTTATACTTTAATTACAGTACAAGACACCCATCATTATGTCTATTTTTAATACATGCATTTCATACTTTATTCAAATTTGTTACATAATGTACCTTTAACTGTTCTGCTAGGGTGTGGTTTGGCTGTAGTGTAGATAGAACCCGTCTTGCTCCCGTCTTCCAATAAACACTGCCATGTTGCTACAAGTACATTGAAATTGTCTTTGCTAAGTACTAACAATAGGTTTATATTTTAACTGGTTATAAAATATAAAGAGGCATCAAAATAACAATATGAAAAAAAACAACATTTGAGCCACCAACAAGAGAGAGACAGAGAGAGAGAGAGACTCACCTGTCCAGATCCAGACAGGGCAGCAACTGTAGAGAAGTCAACTCCATCTTTTTTCATCTTCTCTAGCAGCATGTCTAATGTCTACAAAAAAATAATAAAATAATAATAATAATAATAAAATTAACATAATAAAAGACCAACAAACATCTTAAAGTAATGCTCATACCCTCCAGTGCCCATAAAACACAACAATAAAATTACATTTGTTTACTTTGTGTGACAAGATCAAAGACAATGATATTAAAATGACTCATCTTCTCATCTTCACCAAGATATTGACATAATATGAAGTCAACATATATATATGCTGTTGTCTTTTTCGCCCATTTCAATACTACTGTGCTTTTTTGACATAACTGTGTGAGATAAATTCAGCTGAACCTAAGTAACGGTATACAAAAAACATCCCAAGCACATCATATATGTTAATCAAACCCACCTCCACCCACTTATTGGTGCATATTAGGCTCACCTTAACCCACATAATCGTGGGTGCAGTGACTGTCACATTGTCCTCTGTCACATGGACCCCACCATGAGTTCTGAAATCATTCAAATTATTCATTTTTATTTATAAAATCAAATTATTTATCTATATTTCTAAAATAAAATTAGAAAAATTTAAAAACTGAGTCAACTCAGCATGTGAAGCTTATCAAACACATAACTCCCTAGTTTGATGAAAAGTTGATCTCCTATGCCATTAACCGGTAACAATACTATCTGGTGTAAATTTCAGTTGCCATTAATACATTCAACACCCAAAAGTTTACCTGAACTCTGGCAAGTCAGTGTCAAATTTGATATGTGTTTCATAAACCACTTTCAGGGCATCATCAATAACCATTGCCTTAACCTGAAATGGCATAAAAACAATTATAATAAGAATATTTACATATTAAAATATATTAATGTCAAATGGAAGATGAAAAATCTACAAAGTTCTCTGTGTTTGTAAGTTTTTTTTTTATTTTAATTTTATAATTTACATTTTACATGGGCTCAGTCTCAGCTTAGACATGACCTACTGGTGTAAAGTGGTATAGATAACAGCTACTGAATGTACAGTACCACAATAATTTGGTCTTGGTAAATCAACGATACATTTTTTTCTGGTTCCCATGGCTCTAGTATATACTCTCAAAGACGGAGTCCTTGGGGGGGGGGGGGGGCACTTTCATAAATATCCTTGGTGCCATTTGCAAACAGATATATGCAGAATCTCGACCTACTCACGCGCGACAAGGGATCTACACTCGATCACTTTGAATGAAATGCAAGCTTCAAAAACGAGCCGGTGCTTGCCCCTTCTTGTGTTCATCCCGCGATCAAACAGCAAATCACAAAAAAAAAATAAAACTACACACTGCTCCTTACTATATGTCACCCTTCCGAATGCTACTTATCAGTTTCAGTACCTGCTGTGTGCTGAAATCGAAGCCTAAAAAGGTCCTCTTCGTTTTTGGACTCGACATGTTGACTAAATGTAGGTCACAGTTTGATATCCAAGAGAGGTCAGAGTTCAACGAAATTAGGTCAAACATTGCATTTCCGGTTGCAATGTGAATGAGTAGCGACAGTAGTGACATTACTTACGGTTTAAGGCGCGAAATGCACGCTCTGTAGTCATCAGAACAAGAAGATTTTCCGAAATGGAGCTTCATTTTATGGGAACAGCATCGGCTTATCCAACGCCGGTCAGAGGAGCGAGTTGTATAATATTCAGACGTGGTGAGCAACAGATACACGTTATTCTCGTGGTAGACTCTGTGATACTATGTCCAGACTGCTTTAGTTTTGAATGAAATAAAGAGTCACTTTCAGTAGTAAACAATGTATACTATGTCGCCATTGTATTGATCTCTTACCTTTGTATTATTTTGTACATGTCCATTTGCAAAATTACAAGTTCGAGGATTTTCCCATTGGAACGTGTGGGTATTTTTTTTTTTTTTTTTTTTTTTTTTTTTTGATATTGTTAGCAACTATAGTATTTGTTGTTACCAGTACATATATTCCCTTCCAGACTCGGACTGCTGGATGTTTGACTGTGGTGAAGGCTCTCAGACACAGGTAATGAAGAGCACCATCAAGCCTGGCAAGATTAGCAAGATCTTCATCACCCATTTACACGGAGATCATGTAAGGATGGCAAAGTTTGAGGGCTATTAACAATACTTTACCCCTCAAAACTTACACTCTCTTGGTTATTTTTCTTTCTTTCCTTCGAATCACTCTCAGGATAGTAAACATTTATAGCAAATACCTATAATCATTTTAAAAATATTTTTCTTGGGATATTTTCCTAGTGATTTAAAAGATTTAATTTGGCAGTTAACATACGGCAGTTGACAATATTGATTTTTTTTTCTTTTTGCCATCTTATAATGAGTATGAGATGTTGGACTGATCATATTTGTACACTAATTAATTTATTTACATATATTGATTTATGTTACTATTATAGATTCTTCAAACAGCAGTGATAAATCAGAATTATTACCACTCTGATATTTCGTTGGCTTACACATACTTTGGTCAAAGACACTTTCATAAATTTGTGTAATCAACTTCAACGATGAAAAAATTAAATAAATATTAATGACAGACACAATTAACTTTTAGCCTAATATGTAAGCCAGCTCTTTGTTCTAGAAACCATAAATTAATGTACATTCAATATACCTGACCCCTGAATTCAAATTCCTATCCACTCTATGCTCACCCACCCCACCACAACCCGTCTCCTACCCAGCCACACTGCATTGATCCCATCTCACCAACATGTCCCTGCTTATACCTTGATATATATCTACTGCTTATCCACACTACACCCACCCCACATCACCTACATGCCTCTGCTTCCATATTCTTGTACCTCCTGCTTACCCACGTTGTACCCACCTGCCCATCCACATACTACGTACTCTGCCTCAGCCCTCCATGATATGTCTCCATATAATTCCAGGTATTTGGACTCCCAGGATTATTATGCACTATAGGTCAAAACAGCACCCCAGACAGACTCTTGGAAATCTATGGACCGCAGGGGTTACGGAAGTTTCTGCGGGTGAATCTCGAGCTTTCCCGTAGCATGCTTGGATTTGATTACGTGGTCCATGAGCTCATTCCTATCAGAGAACAGTGTAATTGTGTAAAAGACTGGGAGGTTGGTATAAAGTGTCAGCACTCTGTGGCAAGGGATCAGTTTCATGAAGGGAAATTTAAGTTGAAAGTTAGGTCTTTTTTTTAACTTAAATATTCTGGTGTCCAGGAAAATATTCAAATTCTGATATAGCTGCACCTTAACTGTTTCATTCTTGAGGATTGTTTCTGTCACCTAAGCTTTATAGTCTTAAGATAAGTTTTCATTGTTTGTCATGGACTACCAATGACCATACTTCCATAGTTTTTTTTTCAAAGCTCTGGGAAGTATAGACTCTTTATCTTGTTGCTTTTGTGTTTCAGACCTGGTCAGTGGACCATGAAGCCCCCAGGGGACCACTTCACCCTTACGAAAAACCAGGCATGTCGATATCAGCTGATAAACAGGGAGTCTGGCACCTGTAGGTTTGTCATGAGGTTCCTCTGATGTATGAAAATGTCAGGAAAATACAACTTTGGATTTGAAGCAGCGATATGAAGCTGTGTTCACATCTAGACTAATTTAGACCTGAGAAAAACCTATTGACATTTTTTTAAGTCCACTGCTTTAATATAAAGACACCAAGACCTCTGGTATTGTTACTGAGTAAAGTTGGGTCCATTTCTAATTTTACTGACATCACCATCAAGTTTGTCAAGTAGCTGTAGCTGTGTACTCTAAAGCATAAGATTGTAAATTTTAGCTTTATTTCTAGGCTTATTCTATATTATTGAAGAAGATGCTATAAAAGTTTTAGGCAAACAAAATGCCACTGATGTTGTACAAGTGTTGTACAATATTTTCTTGCTATTTTTGGCTACAAGAAATTTGAACTAGTGTGAACCCAGAGTTATGTTTTGTTCTCCAGGTTGGAGGAGAGTGGAGTCAGTGTAAAGGCCTCATGGCTGACACACAGAATTCCAAGCTTTGGATTTGTGATTCAGCAAGCCAGCCAGCCAGGCAGGTGAGGTACTGGTTGTGTTCACATCAGAACCAACTTACCTCATGACATATTGTCTTCATCATACAACCATTTTGGTTAAGTATGAAGGCCAATAGAATATTGCCAAATAAAATGTTTGGTGGCACTCATGTCAAGGAATATAAATAAAATGGCAAATTTTCGTATTTAACATTTTTGTGACATTCTGGAAAAGATGATTGCCACTTACATGTCATTGAAGTTTTCCCAACAGGAGTGAAATATACACAAAATATAACTTGGCGTAGTTAAAGCAATCCATGCAGCAAAACTTGTGGATGACATTGGGCAGTGTTATACATGTACATGTATGTGCCCTTTTCAGATTGAATGTAGATGTGTTGAAAGCCAAGGGCATCCTCCCAGGCCCACTGTATGCCAAGATTAAGAGAGGAGAAGCTATCACTGCCCCCAGTGGGGAATTGGTAAGATATAAATTATAACTTATCAATAAAAATGTTTGACAATATGTTTTAAAAAGAAAATTTTACTGTCATTTCTTGTACTCCTAGGTATTTTTATCAAATGACTGTGATGATGTTGGTATTATATAAAACCTACCAACAGTTACTCTGTTATCAAAAATATCATTTGTGTCTTCTTTGTAATAAAAGTATCATTGAAATTCCATGTTAATCATTTAATATAATTGGATTCATAAGCTGATTGTGCCTAAAATCTGAATTTGAACTTTCGTTTTATTCCTAATGTCTATAAAAATGATCAAAATGATCAGCCTGTTTTGGCCCGACATGATGGTATTAAAGAGGCTTGTGTTCCTTACACTGGGCTTTTGCAATTTTTTTCCTTCCTTTTCATCGCAGGTAAAACCAGAAGATGTCTTAGGACCAGATAAGCCCGGTAAAAAAGTTGTCATCTTAGGAGACACTTCAAACTCTGACAGCATAGCTAGCATAGCTCAAGGTGCAGATGTGTTAGTGCATGAAACTACTCTGGAAAATGACATGGTGGAAAACGCTATAGAGAAAGGTCATTCCACCCCAGGTGATTAGACCATGAAAATATTTGTTTATTTATTTATTTATTTATTTATTTATTTATTTATTTATTTATTTATATTGAAAAATGTACTTTGTACGAAAATGAAGCAGGAATAGCAGATCAACCTTCACTTGTATATAATTATTTCTAAATTTAATGAAAAAAAATATTTGAACTCTTTGTCTTTAACTTGGGAAGGAATGTTTGGACCATTGAAGAGTTCATTATGTGATTAGACCAATGTATTGTTGACATCAGTCTTTTTTAATGCAGTGTAAGCTTGAAAGCATGTGAACACTGTTATATGTGTAGTTCAAAAGGACAAATCTCCTTTTGACATAAAAACGTGGATGACTGATATTTCTCATTCTTTTAAATTGCAGCAATGGCAGCAGCATTTGCGAATATGATAGGAGCCAGACACCTGATAATAACTCACTTCAGTCAGAGGTACAGGCCAGTTAATGCAGAGATCACTGATGACTGTGTGAGTACGGGACCATTCCCACTTTATTTGGATCGATCTATCTCCCTGGGGTGTCTCACTTAATTGCTGTCAACTTAACCAGCTTAAATGTCTGTCATGCCTAGTAAAGCTGTTAGGGGGAAATTATCTTTACCATAGCTGATTCAGTAGTTAGTGAGACCCCCAGGGAGTTAGACTGATCCAGATGGATCGATCTCAGCATGGGAACCCAGTCTATGCCTCCAAGGATTGCCTGGGAGATCGGTATAAAAATGGGGACTGATTCTTGTGTATACAAAGAGAATACTTGTTTGGGTTATAATTTAGTTTGGGGATTAGTTTGGGATCATAAATAAAGAGACATTCTCAAATTAGAGGTGTATATATTATATAAAGTTAAACAAAACTAGCCTTTATAAATCAATTGCCACTATTTCAGTTATCCATTATAATGTGATTTAGCTAATTATACTGCTCCTGGACCAACAGTTGTAATAAATGGAACTTAGATTAAAAGAATATATATATATATATATATATATATATATATATATATATATATATATTTATTTATTTATTTACAAGATGTCAATTTTACAGGAGGATCCCAGTGTCTTGACTCTACTCAAAGAAGCACAAGAAGGTTTTGGGTTGGAGAAAGTTACAGCAGCCTTTGACTTGATGAGTTTTACCATTCGGTAACAAAAACTGCATGCCTTATGAAGATATGACAAAGAGTTTAATGTTGTTGATAAAATCCAGTTATGAATACTACAACACGCACACAAAAGCAGGACTGTAATGGATGTGAGTCCATCCAACAGAAGTGACCCACTAATGCCTCTCAGTCTCCAAGGCTGCTGGAGGAGGATTCAAACCCACGCAACAGGGGTGGAAGGAA